TAAAAGGTATGTTTTGTGCTTTGTTCTCCAAGTTGATTATTTTTCAAGAAGTATTAAAAATGTTAGTACTTTATCTAAAAGTTTTGCCTTTTTTGACCTGAGTTGCAAGTTAAGGGGAAGAGAGAAGATAATGCTGTAAATAAAATTAATTAAACCTCTGTAGTGGATTGTCTTACATGACAATAACACAGCATTAGATTGTTACAAAGTGCTTTGCAGACTTTCTGGCTAAAAGGGCAAAGCTTACCTTTCTCAAGTGACAAGAGTATTCAGGGCCAGATGGTGATCGTTCCTCTGTCTGCAAACCATACTCAATTTTTAATTAAGGTTTTCTAAAGTGATCTTTAAAGTGTGGAGGAAAGATAATGTTCTAATCTTAATGTATTTATCTTGATTAAAAAAGAGCCTTATTTGACTCTTACTAGGTTCTTGAAGTTCACATGTTCAGTAAATTGCAATAATCTCATTTATCTCTGCTACTCCAATAATTTTTCAGAGCTGCGAAATCTGCCAAGAACAATTTGAACAGTATTGGGATGAGGAAGAGGAAGAGTGGCACCTGAAGAATGCTATCAGAGTAGATGAAAAGGTAATCTGATCTTATTTACATATGATACTAATTTATAGTAAAAAAATCCAAAGAAATACAGGTAAAAAAGAAAGGCGGGTCAAGTGCTCTTTTTCTTCTGAAGGATTCCCATCGTAGTTTTCCTGGCTTTGAAGTACATAAATATCTCAGCCTTCAGAAGTGCCTGAAGTCCTGGTATGGGCTCACTAGTCCTGGTATTGTTGGTATGGGCTCACTAGTCTTCCCTTATCCTGCAGAGCTAAAGGAAAAATGAATGTATGGATGTCTTTATGTATGGTTATAGGTATTGGTTCAATTATTTCTGTATGCAGCTGTACACAAATAATTCCCAATATTCACCAGGCTTCTCTAATTCACAGCACTTACGAGGCAGTATGATAACTTTTCCTACATAAACATCACAAAATCTTTTCCCAGGTATATTTAACATCATACTTGGCCTGCTCAGACCATAGTTTTTCCAGATGAATTGGGTGTTAATGTGTAATTGACAATGTTCTGTTCATTACCACTGGTACTGCTATAATTTATTTTTATGTATTTAAATATATAACAATTTTTTTTCAGATTTACCATCCATCTTGTTACGAAGATTATCAAAATGTAAGTGAATCCTTCTTCATACTTTCTGAAGCATTTTGCTTTCAGTTTGTTTGCTTGATCTCTGACTTTGCAGGAGCAGATGTGTTCAGTGTACTGCCCATTTCTCTTGCCTAAGACTAGGAGGCCTTGGGTGTGGCAAGTTTATAATACAGAATTAGCTAAGATGCATTTCTGGTTGTGAGGTACCACGACAGCTTGTGTGCCACAAAGCAAAGCCATGGTTTGATGGATTAAGTGTTGAGTAACATGCGTAATCTTAGGAATTGGCAAAAATCGAGTAGCTGGGTGTTGGTGTGTGTGATATTTTTAATGTTTTGGGAATTACAGTTGCCCTGAGGGCACATAGAAGGGAACAGTTCATGGTAGTGTGTTAAGCATTTCATCACTGCTTGGTGGTAACTTTTCAAAGGAATTGGAAAAAAAGCAATGCTATTCAAAATATAAATTTGTTTTTTTAGGAACTCAGTAAAGCAGAAGTTTGGCTTTTGAGTGCCTGTCCATCAACATGTTTGCATTTTGAAAAAGGGCAAAAGGGATGAAAAGCTAAAACTTGTCATTTTAATGTGCTAATGCTACTTTACCTTTGCAGACATCATCATTTGATTGCACACCATCTCCCAGCAAGACTCCTTCAGAAAATCCACTAAATATAATGTTGAACATTGTTAAACAAGAAACAGAAGAGTCCTGTGACTCACCTAAAATCAAAGAAGAACCTGATGACACCCCTCCTGCCTGTGCAGAAGAGAGCACACCTGCATCTACAGATATAAAAACAGAACCCGAGGAATCTGTTTAAATAAACTGAGGTATGATTTTTTTTTTTTACAGAAGAGCTGCTGTGTTAATTCTGGAAGGCAAAATACTTTTTATATGAATAAAAATGTCCAACTGAGGCAGGGCCTCAGGTACTGTTTGGTTAATAAATACATTTTTGTATTTGAAATTTCTTACTGCCTGCACAGTTTCAGGTGTCATTGTGTGAAAGTTCTGTAGATGCGTGAAAATTTAATGGTATATGTAAAAATGTAAAATTTTCATTTGTTGAAATGTAAATTATAAATAAAAGATATTTTTGCTATATATGGAGTGTAATGTTTATGCACACCATCAAATGAAGAGTGTGTTTCTGTACTTTTTTCAGTTTAAAATTAATTAAAATGAATTTTTGCTTAATTTTAAAAAAACCCGAAAGCAAGTCTCTTCCTTCAGCTATCTGATTAAGTGGGTTATCAAGGGAAGGAGTTTCTCAGACAGACAAGCCTGGATTTCTTGTCTTTTTAAACTTATTTGAACAAACTTACATATCCAGATGTTTAAAAAAACAATTACAACAACATCAAAATAATAATAATAATAATAAAAAAAAAGTCACAAAAAGACAGTCTGGGTAGAAAGGGAACATTTAACAAACCAACTGGAGTGCTTGATTGTGGTGAACACAAGTGCCAACAAATAAAATTAACAAACCAGGATGCCTGGTAGTTAAGACATTTTTAACGATTTTTTTTTCCATTAGTCAACATAAATTTAAGAAAGCTGAACACTTTTCTTTACATTACAGGGGGGAATGAATGTAAGAATGCTCATTTGAAACATGGTTAACGTTTTCTTTTTTGTTGCTTATTACGACTGGACTTAGATGGTAAACCAGATATCCTGAGATGTTAATATTTCTTAAATGTTATAAATAAAATTAAGCATAGATTTGAGTGTGAGTCTCTTTCTTTCAATAACGGGTCTGTTGGCTGGTACATTTGTGGGATTGGAAATAATCGTAGTTGTGTGTTTTAGGACAGTATGCATTTGTTCCATTCACTCTGCTGTGTATAGTGCATGTTTTTAAAGCTGCTGGGAGCAAGGCAGAAGTACTAAAAGTAAGAGAGCAATGTCACAAGTCCTAGTGTGTTACTCAATTCCTAGTGTGTTACTCTTGCAGTAGGGATACTTTGGAGTCAGAAGATATAAGTAGAAATAATCAACAGTGTAGGTGATGTTATTGGCTGCAAAAACTTCTTCCCATGTTCAGACCCAGGCTTCAAGCAGTTTTTAAGATGAAAATAATACTCTGACTCTTGTATTAAGGTTGTAGTTGTAGTGAGTGTGCCCTGTTCTAGATACCAGCCTTAAAAGTGCTATTCAATTAGAGACAGTCCAGAGGAACAAAAGTACATGATAGATCAGGGTTATGTCAGTCCTTAGGGTGGTGTGTCTGGCTGCTGGCTGTGCTGCAGGGAAGTTACTCAGTGTTATTTTTTGGAGGTTCTTCCCAGAGCAGGGTTGTAGCCTGGCCCACTTACTTCCCCAAATGATGCTTTATGTCCTGGAATACTGTAAACTTCTCAATCACACCAATTGAAGTTCGGATGAGACTGAGCAAAGACATGATGTCTTTAACTATGTACAAGGCTGTTAGAAAAGGAAAAAATTATTCTACTAGAGATTAAACAAAAAGAGACCTATATGTTGCAGCAAGAGGCTTTATGACAACTCTAAAGACAAGGATAATTAGGCTCTAAATGTACCTCCCTTGGTCCATGTAGTTATCACTGCACACCTGTAAATGTGACTGGGCTCATCTTGCCTCGAAGCAGAACTCTGGAAATGCAGTGTCCTTTCTGTCCCATCAAAGGAACTCAGTTTCCTTCTGGGCACCTGCTGGTTTTGGCTAAGGGAACTGAGGACCAGGCATGTCATTGTTGGGAAAAAAAATAAGGGGATTAAAGATACACACAGCTTGACTGGAGACCGATGATGCAGCGGGGAGAGCACAGATTAAATACGTCTTGGTCAATGTATCACTGGGGGGTTCAGAGATGACAACTGGTACTTGTTACCCTTCTCCCTGGGGAATGCCATGAAGGCACTAACCCAGGGCTGCCTAGAGGTGCAAAAAGCCACCACTCTGCGGCTACAGCCATGCACAGGCAGCTGCAGTGCAGCTCGCACGCCTGGACCCGTCCTGCTCCCTCTCCGCGGCCCGGCGCCCGCCCCGCCCGCCATTTTCCTCCCGCGGGAAGGAAGGGGAGGGGCGAGCCGGGGGAAGCCCACGCGGTGCCCATAGCAACGGGTAGGAGGAGGAGGGACTGGCTCCTGGCCCTCTGTGCTGCGAGGGGCCGCTGTGCCCCCGCTCCGGCTGGTGAGATTGCTCCGCCCGCGCCTCCTCCTCCTCCTTCCCCCTTCCCTTGCCCGGGGGCGGGGGCGGCCCCCGAGTGGCTAGGGGTGGGGCGAGCTCGTCCGCGCCGCGCTTCCTCCGCTCGGGTTCCCTGGAGCTGCCCGGTCTGTGGCACAGGGATCCACCGGGACATACACACCCTCCATGCCGAGGATGCTCCAATATCCGCCAGACGCGCGGGGAAAGGCGGGGAGCGGCGCTGGCCGGCCGGGCTCGCCTGCCCTGACCCCGGCCTTCGCCCCGGCGGGCCGGGCCGGGCCGGGCCGGGCCGGGCTGGGCTGGCGGCTCCCGCGGCCCTGGAGCTGCTGCCAAAGGCGAGCTGTGCGGGGTTGTCTTTGTGTGTTACGGGAACGTCGCAACACCTAACAGTGACTCTTTCCCCTGTTCTGAGCCATATTCTTCTTCCCTTAATCTCTTTAATTGAATTTTGGGCAGGTACTGATCTCAAAATCCTTAGTTCATTTTTTCCACAAAGTTTTCTCTTAGAATGTCGAGTGTTTGATACCTTTTTTTTTTTAATAGAAAGTGCACTAAAATTATGGAGCCTGAACTTCACTTTGAAAATCAGTATATTTTTTTTACAGAACTGATGTTAACAGCTGTTTATTGAACTTCAGACCCAGGGCTGCTGCCTTTGTCTTGTGTCAAGCAGCCATGCAACCATCCACCCTGGGCATCTGTCTCCATGCAGCTGCAGGTCTCCAGAGGGGGAGGGGAGACAATATTTCTGCTGGTGGGCCTTGTTTACTTTCTTCTGGACAAAAAACAAGGAAAAAAAAAAGATCTTGAAGTCGCTGCACTGTAACATTGTGTTAAACACATTAGTACTTTGCCAAGTAGTGCAATGGGCCAGATCTGCCTGTAATTTAAAGTTGTATAATTGGGCTGCAATCTGTAACCCTCACTTGTTATAATGAGAAATTACTCCCTTGTGGGAAAATTATATCCTGGTGATACTGTTTCTTAAAAAAAACCAAAACCACCAAACAATAAAAAACCTAAACCAAACAACTCAAACTACAAAACATTCTTAAATATTATTCAGAAACATGAACTAGATGACTTCCCAAAGCCCCTTCCAGCCCAACTTATTCTGTGTTTCTGTGCTGCTGCTCTTTGTTCAAACAGTACTTTGCAGGATGGAGTCACAGTTTCTAAGTGAAGCAGTGATGCAGCCTGGGGAGCAGGGGAGGTGGAAGTGGAGTTATACGCACTCACAAGATTGATGGTGTGTTATAGCGCACACAGGATGTGTTCCTGTCAGCCTGGAGTACTGAAACAGCTTCAGCCCTTCTTTCCTCTCTGTTGCAACCCCAAATCTTCCTGAGCACTACTATCACACTACAGAGCACATGAAAATAGGCACTGGTAAACTGCACAGGCTGCTTTTAATTGTATTTAGTGCTTTTTTACATATATTACAAACATGTTCATGCAATATCACACTGATATTATTTAATATTTTTTACCTCAAATTGTGTAACAGTCTACTTCTACCATTTCTTCTCCACAGGTGGAGAAGCTGAGACACTTAACTTAAGACCTACAGTTTTATGCTTGTTTGACTTGCAAAACAGTAGCCCACCTCTTCAGGTCTTCTAACAGCGTGAAACCTAATCAAACAGTGTTACTACCTTTTGGTACTGGAATAATGGCTGCTGTAGAAGGTGAATACTAATTGGTTTAGGTTCCTTTCATGCCTGTCTGTCTGAAGCTAGTCCCCTCAGCCATTAGATCTGCTTACATCTCATATTTCTATTTACAAGTTGTCAAGATATCAAGGTGTTACCAGGGGATTTGGATATGTAATTCCCATTGTTTCCAGTCATGTAGTTAATCAGTGGAAAAGCCTGAAGGTAGGACACAGGTTATTTGATCCCATGGCCTGGTGACAGAATATTTTTTTTTTACCCTACTGCTTCTATATTTAGAGTTTCATTCTGTGCCACCGAGGTCACTGAAAATTTGCTCCCACTTTGGTGGGAGCAAAATATCAGACTGCTGAAAAGTGAGCTGTGACAGAACAATGCTGTAATTCTATCAAGAGAGCAACACAGGAAGACTAACACATTGTATAAAGAACTGCCTTTAATTTTGACATCAGTTTATCCTGAAGATGATCTGTGTAGCTCAGTCAAGAGCAGTTACATGGTATGCTCACTTGGTGAAGGCTCTGGTGCCCTCCAGTGTGATATGCCATGCTGTGCTAAGTCCTTAGGCAGCCAGCAGCAGCATTTGGAGCACCTGGGAAGTGATGGCTGAGAGCTTGTTTGCCCAAGTGAGAAGCCTTCCTGGTGTTATATTTGTAAATGTGATTAATGAAGGAGTTTGTGATGCCCACCCACAGTTTAAGAAGAGAGACAGTTTTGGGGTGAACCTGCTCTGGCACTTGCTAACACGGAGTATCTCTACTTTCTGCTCTTCCTGTGCTTCTTGACATCTTTCTGCTGGGTTTTACTCTTGGGCCCTTTACTGGGGCTGGAGGGCCATGCATGTCTCAGGTTTTGGCATATTGTTTTGTTCCTGACAAACAGCAGTGACTTAGGAATTCTAGTGATATGAATCTCAATCATATGTTACTCTGGACATTTTAGCTGGTTTTGTGAAGCACGGATGTTTCTTTGATTCATCACTTATTATCTATCTCTTATATGTTGCTGATTTAAGCAACTGACTAATGCCGTTTTATTGTTCCTCACTAGTTGTCGAGAAGAAGCAAAATTATACTAGTGTGCATGAAGCAGTGAAAGCTGGTGATGTAGAACAGCTTGCATTGATGATTAAAAGTGGAGCTGGTGTTAACGAGGTGGATGTAGTCCACAAATTCACACCCTTGCACTGTGCTGCCCACTCGGGAAGTCTGGAGGTAAAACATTACATTAGTGTTTAGACACAGCCAGGTTTTTGTAAGTTCATATTTCCTTCTTTCGGAGAGGCTGGACACAACATCGCTATCTTGAGTCAAACTGAATAATCTCTGGCTGCCTTTCTCATTAAATATGTTCACCTAGAGCAGAAGTACAGCATTTTAGATTTTCTTTTCTTTTTTTTTTTTTTTTTTTCTGAAGCCCCAGGCATTTCACCTAATCAACTTTGTCAGATTTTACTAAATTGTTGATGTTGTTACTCATCAAAATGTGCCTTATGGCCTCCCTTCCAGACTCATGACCTCCTTTTGTCCCTGTTGTGTTTTCCTCTTCTCTTGAGAGACCTGGAAAATCCTACAGAATGTGTAAAATGTTCTGAAGGTGATTGAAACAGATAAAAAGTGACATAAAAACATGTTCATTCTGTTTACCAATGTCCCATGCCTCGTTCTCTATAGAAGTTGTCTTAATACATTTTATTTTAATAAATCAAAATGTCGAATAATGATGAAGAAATCAGCAGATGCTTGTATGAAAGTTTTGAACTTCCAGAAAGGTTGAACTGCTGTATTCAACACAACATTGCTTTTCTTCTTGTAGCCTTCTTGTTCAGTCTTCATAGCAATCTAACCTTGAAGCAACAAGGCCATTCATGTCCCAAAGAAAAGCATGTAAAGTTCTTGCTAAACTCAAGGAATACTAAGTGCAGTGCTACTTCTGCCATGTAGAGAAACTGTCAAGAAAATGCTAATCATAATTTTGTCAGCCCCCAAACCAGATTGCTTATCCACCCTTTTCTGCCTCTGTAAATTCTGTCATTTTTCATTTGATTCTTCTACTTTGCAATTATTATATTAGACTTTTTTCAATTATCTGTCATCTATTTGTTTCTAAGCTCCTTGGTGGAAATAGTGGAGGAACCAGAGCTGAAGTATGGCCTGAAACAAGATAATAAATTATAATAATATATAATAAAAAGTTTTAACTGTCCCTCTAGCTGTCTTTGGATAGTCCATAAAGCATTCCATTGCAAGTAATAGTATCTGCTGGAAGAAGTGAATAAAACAAAACTAAGCCATGGAAGAGTGAGAAGAGAGACGGGATTACATACACCTAAGGAGCCTAATAAATTAAATGAGGTTTTAAATTTAGTTAATGGTATTTTGCCTATGAGCAATTTTAGCTGGAATTCATGTGAGGATGCTTGCATTGTTTTTTCCAATGCTTTTACCTCATGCCATGTGAATATTCTCACAGATTACATTTTAAATCTGAAAGGGTAAAATTAAGAAGCCATACTGTAAAATCAATGCTAGGGTCTGATTTAGTAGGTTATTTGCACATTTTGTACCCTTGGGTGAAACCTGGAAAGTATAACTTACCTGTAACTTTCTAATGCCCAAATATCTGGCTAAGGCATGCTCTGGGGTCTCATTTCCAGAGTGAAGTATTCGAGTACTGTTTTGAAATGTAACATCGACAGATAAATTCTAGTTAAAACGTGCCTCAGATACATGGTATGAACAGCTAAATAAAAGCCGCTTTGGTTTTGGTTGAGCAGTGCCTTCACTGGTTGCTCTGGCATGGAGCTGACACAACTCATGTGACTGTCAGAGGCTGGACAGCGGCTCACCTTGCGGCCATCCGAGGGCAGGATGCCTGCATGCAGGTACGTGTAAATATTCACTCTCAAGCAAAAGTATGTAGGGCAGACCTTAATTTTGGACAAATTCATTATGAAGATCAGTTGAGGAAGCTCCTAAGGGAGCTATGAGTAGCTCATCTTGGTGTCTTGGCATCTGGGATGAAGTCACTCATTTTAAAACCAGTGCACACATTTGCGCTGTCTGTACAAACAGATTATTTTGTGCAGTGCCAGGACCTTGAGGTCAGCCCAGAGTTATCCTGCTGATCATCGTAACCTGTTCATCTAGGCAGTGTTTGCTTTTTCAGCCTGTGAAGTGAACTTCTACTTTGCATTTCTTTTAGGCTTTATTAATAAATGGAGCAAACACAGAAGCTCAGGATGACCGTGGGTGCACGCCAGCACACTTGGCTGCAGCCCACGGGCAATCCTACACCTTGCAGACCATACTGAGAAGTGGAGCGGTGAGACAAAACTCTCCCTAGCTTAAACTGAGATTTAAAATTGTAGATTAATTACTGTTGGTGAATTTATTTTTAGGGTAAATTTCCATTTTTTAAATTGTAGTATACACTTAGGGAAATGATTCAAAAATCTAGAGAGAATCAGTAATGTAAGTAAATCACATTCCACTGAGGATGTCATTAAATGAAGATCAGGTGCTGGGGTGGTGGTCATTTTTTGCAGTTGTACAAATCTTCTATAGTAAAGGAGAAATGAACTTAAAAAAAAAATCCAGTTGCATATTTACAGAGTAATGACCAATGTAGGTCATTATGATAATAAAATGTGTCTAAAAATGCACCTTTTATAAGTGTATCAAGTAAAAGTGTGAAAAGACTTGGAATGGGAACTGCATATATGGCATGAACTTTGAAAAATGTTATTTGATTTGATTTAAATAATATAACACAATGAACAGCTGATTACTATAAATAAAATTTCTCTTGTGTCTAAGATTCAGAAGTGAATGAATTAACCTGCTGCTTTCATTTTAGAATGTAAATGTTTCAGACAGGAATGACTGGAAACCTGTTCATTATGCTGCTTTTCATGGTCGTTTGGGGTGTTTGCAGCTTCTTGTTCGATGGGGAGCATGTATCGATGATGTGGATAACAATGGAAACCTTCCAGGTATATCAGGATAAATCATACGTTTTTAAGCCTTTGGTTTGCAGTTGTTGTGTTTTGTGATAATTGAGCAAATTTTAAGTAATGCACAGCAGCAACATTTGCTATTTGATTCCATGCAGTTAGCATAGATAATCCATTTTTCTCATGATGGGAGGATTTATTAAATCCAAAGTATAGTTCTGTTGTTGACAGTATCCCATTCACCTCTTGCTGCTGCTGGCAAGGATCAGAGCTCATGGGTGCTGGAGTAGGGAGCAGGATGAGACTGACTGAGAGCACTGCGTAGTGCAGCATCTCCTATGTGTGTGATAGAGCAGGTGTGCCAGTGGAGGTCACGGGAGGTGGGTGGGTGAAGCAGGAGGCAGTTTCAGCTGCTAAGTGCTACTTTTTGAATTTGTGCCAGGCTTTAACAGCTGTGCCACTGTGATCAGGTTGTGGTGTGTTTGTTCATCTTGATTTCTGGAATACTGATCTTTCTGTATTGTCTGTAGTATGTTCTCTTTTCATAATCATAAGCGTATTCATTTTAGCACAAAAAAATGGGCAGTGTTTATTCCTTGCTCTTCATAGTTTCTCCAGTGTCCCTCTGCCTACCATGCCACTGCCTCAATATCCTCTGTAAGCTGAATAGTATTGTTCCTGTCTTGGGTTCTCATTGCATCCTTTCCCTTTTAGCATTTTCCTCTTATGGTTTGTCCCATTATTTGTTGCAGAGACCATATTTTTTTTCTCTATAACTTGTATGGAGTTCTTGTTTTAAATCCCTTCTTAAAATCCTTTACCCTCTATTAAGAGCTACTTACCTAGGAAACAGAGAGCTATGTTCTGTTTTGCAAACCTAGATCTCGTTAGAAGATGTGAGGCTCCTGCATCTCAGCAGGAGATCTGGTGCATTAGCAAGAAGGGGTCATGATGTTAAGCACCCTGGTGGCAGTGTAGAAGGCAGCTTTATTTGCATTTGGGAATACTTCTTCCATAACAGACTTCTGTGAAGATATAGCAGATGTCAGCCCAGTTCTTCTTCAATGCTCTGTATATACTGGTTAGTAGAGAATTGGTTATGTTGTATTTTGACATCCTACAGAAGCTTGATCTTCCAGCCTTTGTTCTGTTTCATTTGATCCAAAGGAAAGAAAAAGCTTTGGAACATGGCTTGTAAAAGATTAGTAGAAGTGATAGAAGTGATTAGTAGAAGTGATACAGACCAGCTTTGCCTCAGCTTGTGTAACATCGAAGTGAACTTAAATTATCTTTGCACGCTTCAGCTTCAAGATTAGCTGAATAGTGCTATAATTTTTCCTAAGAGAATACTGAAAGAAATTTTCTGAGGTTGCAGTGCCAGACATCTAAAACTTAAAAACTGGCTGCACTTTTTGCACGTGTGTGTTACAGCAGAGGGTCTAATTGCCTTTGCTAATTTTCATGCTAATTTTTTGGAAGAAAAAATCTTGTGGCTCATTCAACGTACAGAATGGGCTGTGATTATTAATTCAACATTTTGTTTTCTCTCTGTATTAATTTTTGGGCCACATCCATACTTCTTTTATTGCTCACTAGTCAAACCTATTATAAATATTTTTCACACTCTTTTTTCACTTGTGGCTTTGAGAAGGGTGAGTAGAGTTAGCCTGACTTAATGAAAGGCAAGATAAAACACAGAGAAGTTGCAATACCAACACCAACTAACCACTGCCTATTTGTGATGCCTGAGACAAGGTTTTTCAAGGTTCTTGGCACTAAGCTGCATGTTTTGATGTTACTGTGTTAACATCACAGTACCCTTTGACTTTAGTGTCAACTGCAGGTGCTCAGCATGACTAAGGATGGGATGGCACAGTTACATGTTGAGTACTGGCTACTAAGACACACGCAGGTTAAGCCACCTATGAAAAGTTCCTTTATGTGCATTCCACAGCATTCCACTGAAACTGTGCGAAAAGACTTGAACAGAGCACAGCTCTTTAATCTATTTTCCCCTTACCGTCTTTGCAGAAAATGTTGAGCTTTTTTGATTGCTTTCTGCACAGGACAAACATCTGATAAAAAAGTTTAATCCCAAGAGATGAAGTTTTATCCTGGAGATTTTAGGTATCTGAAAATGGATTCATAAGGGTTGAGTCAGTTTTTCAGTAGCTGACTATTAATTAGTACTTACCTTTAGCACGGTACCTCTTCTTTTCCCTTCTCCCTGAGTAACTCACTCACTGAATAAAATTCAGACAATGGGAAAAATGGCTCTGATTTCAATGAAGCTCAGATTTTGAGAAATCATCCGTACCAAAGTATTGTCATCTTGCTGTAAAACCAATATCCATCACCTTTTAGAGCAATTACGCTCTGGGAAGCTGTGGATGGTTTGCTATAGAGAATTGTGTGTGCCCCAAATGAAGTGACATGGTTTTTCTAGATCCTGGGTACATTGTTTATTGACTATGAAGATAGTGGGATTCTTTCCTGGAGACAAACTAGTCCTTTGGCCTCTAGAACATTAGCCAGCTTTTACAGAGCATTGTCATGGAGAACACATAATAAGCATTATTTGGCAAGTTCTTCCCATTAATGGGACTAGAGAATAATTACTCATTTCAAAATAATCAGCTTGTGTTTGGTACGTTTTATTTTCTTAAAAGCCCAGCACTCTAATAGTAATAAATAACTAAACCTCTTCATAGCCTGAAGGTCAGGTGAGGAATGTACCTTCGAATACTTTACCCAACAAAGTGCATGTCAGTGTCCTCCTTTTGTAGATGGGGTGACTGAGGGTGTGATGCAACTTGTTTGTGGTGGCACAGTAGAGGTGGGCCTAAAGCAGAAATGGCCTTAACACCTCATCAAGGACACTGCTTGCTGTCCCTCCGTTATGGGTATCCCCAGGACAGCGAGGTCAGACAGCTGCTGAAGACTGAGATTTGTGTTCATGGGGAAGATGAGACCCCAGCAGTGCACTCTCTTCGCTAGTGTCCAGTGGTCTGTTGGTGTTGTTTTGTTTCCTAGAGTCAGCTCTGCCAGGGAATCTCCTTTGCAGATCCTATCCTTGACACCTTTCTTCTACCTCCTTTGCATAGAGCTCATCTCTGTCCTGGATAGGAGCTGAACATGCCCAGTTGAACCGAGGCTGCTCTTGTTGTGCAGTGCTGGATGGCTCAAGTGCTGGTGGATGATCCAGATCTAACCAGTGGTGAGAGCACTGCTTTCTCCATGGGCAGCAGGGCTCTACTCTAATACACTTTGTTTCACCTTGTGCTGTAGCCCACCTGGCAGCAGTGGAAGGACACTTGCATTGCTTTAAGTTCTTGGTTGGGAAAATGGCCAGTGTCACACACACACTGAAAGCCAGGAATGACCAAGGAGAGACTCCAAGGGACTTGGCTGAACAGTTCCTTAAAGATAATATTCTGCAATATATTGATGGTATGGAAAAAGAGGGGGAGCATCCAGAGGCACAGGAAGGTGAGTATGGATCAAGATACAGTTAAAATAGGCATTGTAAATAATTCCGTAGAAATGCTTGATTCTGAAAACTTGTATGAGCAGACGTATAACATTTTAATTATAAATATAAGGAAGAACTTCTTTTTAATGCTTACTACATTTACTGGTAGCTAAAGGCTGGGATACTCACTGTAATTTTATAAATGTCTTAGGTTTATCCATGTTCACACTGTGTTGCACTATGAATACCAAGTTGCCCACATTCTTTTTAGACTCCAGCAAAGATCCAGAAAAACTGTATAATTTTCATTAGTTTGCAGATGTCTGCACAGAATCTCTTACTTGCATTGAACAGCAACTTAGCCTGAAAATGTCCCACTGAAATGAAGGTTATTTGCTAACTAGCAATACTGTGGTAGTCAGAACAGCCAAAGGATGCAAATGTGGCAAGGTCTGTAAGGAGAACCCTCAGCAGAACACGGATATGACAACTGCACCTTCACCTCTGTACTTCTGGGAACTTACTGTCCTTATCTGCTAGTCTTTTTTCATTATGCATAAAAGTATATTGTCGGTAGTCCCTGTCTATAAATGATAACTAGAAAAATCAAATTGTCTGTATGAGTATGAGAAGTAAAATAGTTTATATGTTTGGAATTCAAAACAGGCAAATTACTCCAGTTACCACCAGTATTACAATCTCAATCGTAAAACAAAGCTATACTTTTTACTTCAGGTCTATGAAATTAATTTTTTAACTGTGTGAGATGCCTGTAGTCATAACCAAGACATGTTTAGTCAAGTCTGTGGTGAACACTGCTGGTTACACAGCTGCATTTTGCCAATTAAGGTGCACTAGCCTCCTTAAATACAAAGCATCCATACATAAGTTGCTATGAGAGAGGCCAGCTGTGACAGACAAATACCAACATGTTTAGTAGAATTACTGGCATCTGTTTGGAAACATGTGCATTTCATTTTCAGGTTTAGCTTTCCCAGCTCATGACGCTGCTTTCAAAGGGGACTTGTTAGTGCTTAGAAGATTAGTGAGAAGTGGAGTAATCAATATCAATGAGCGGGATGATAAGGGATACACTCTCATGCACAAAGGTCAGTAATTACAATCTGTATTTCAGCTTGTTACTGTTTGTTGCTGACATGTTTACTTTGTTTTTCAAGTGGCTGCTCATCAGATAAACTTCATGAAAAACAGCATCTCATTTTTGAGGGCTCAGAAGTGCAACCCCCAAAAACATATTTTGTGATGTATTTGTGTGTAGGTATCACTTTAAAGACAAAATCACCAAGTTGAAGTCAAGAAAGAAGAGTTTATAATAGAGAAATATCAACATCTAAAAGGAAAACTAAATAGTGGCGGTTTTTGTTTAGCCTTTTTTTTTTTTAATCAGGCAAAATGGGGGTTTTAGAAACATCTGTCTGGTCAGGTATAAGAATGGTCTGTATTGTGGCCTGGACCTTTATTTACTGAACATAGCAGTACTGGGGGGATGTTTTGTAAAAATCACAACAAAGTCATTTGGTAGGGTGCTGTGAAGGAAGGTACATTTTGGGTATCTAACACCTTGACATGTAGTGGAGAAAAAATACAGAAAAAATAGTCCTCTTGTGTTTGGGGTTTCATAGTAATGTCTGAAAGAGAAAAATGGGAGAGGAAAGAAACAGGGAGGCATTTTTGTAATATGCTTTTACCACTATTTTCCACATTTGTTTTTGACTAGATACAATGATAGAATTTTTAAAAACATAATTGAAGTTCTCATTCAAAAAGGTATGTAGTGATTTTAAAATGTTTTCTACGTTTTTTCCCACTTTCTTTTCTTGGAATGGTGCTAACCTACAATTGTTTCATCCCCAGACTTTACATCCTGATATTGTAATTTCATTTCCCTATCTCAGTAAGAAAACAAATATAACAAATATCCAAAAGGGAGTGCTGTCAAGAAATGAATTTACTCTTCCTTGAGAAAAATAGTGTACAGTTTCAACTAGACTTGCCAAATATCATCTTCCATATGTGAGACATCATTCCTGGCACCACCTGGTATGAGCAGTGGCCATGCCAGATCATATGACTGGGCTTGTGTGAGGCTGCTGCTGAGAAGTGTTGCCTTGAGTGTCTGCCCTAAGAAATGATGCACCTATAGCTCCAGCACAAAGCCCTGCTTCTCTCCTCCATGAGACAGCTCTGCACACCACAGGTTGGGGCAACCAGCTGTGTCTGGTACATGGGAGCCTAAAGCCAGGGAGAGGTGACAGCACTTTGCTGCCAAACTAGGACACAGAGGCCTTACTGCAAGAGAGTGTGAGGCAGCAGTGATTTGTGTGTCTCATGCTCAGCACATGGAACTGGGCAAGTTTAATTTAGCTTGTGTCCAGGAAGAGCTGCCATACATTTCTGGAACTAGAAAGAGTCACCAAACCACACTTCCCCAAAACTGTGTGTACCCGTGTGATTTGAGCATCTTGACACATAGGCTTCTCTTGAAATAGTATCTCCCCTGTGGTGTCTTAGAGAACCCAACCTCTGGCATGTCAAAGAATGACAAGAGGAGAACATTTTAGGTTTGAAACCCTTCAGTTGTATATAACTGACTTGTGTGCACCTTCCTTCCTTTAGCTGCTGAACAGGGGCATATCCATTGCTTACAGTGGTTGATTGAAATGGGAGCTGACTGTGACATTACAAATGATGCTGGAGAGACTCCAAAGGATGTAGCCAAGAGGTAGCAGTACATATCCTGTAGCTCTGACATTTATTTACTTACTATTTGTATATCAGTATCATGTCAGCTTTGTTGGAATGAATCCTGATTTTCAGTGATGGAGAAAGAACAGATCAGGCCCATGAATTCCAGCTCTGAGTGATAAGCAAAGCTGTATTGTAGCTATGAAAGGTTTTACTTTTTCCTTATTTTATTTTAATTTTCTTTTCAGCAAGGTCAGACAAAAAAGGAAAACTAGCTGATCTGAAAAAGAGAGTTGTGAGCTAGTCTGGTCACAGTTTGCTGTACAAAGTAATTGAGAAATAGTGGAGGCCAGCTGATTTTTGCATTAATAAAAATAATGCAGTTTCTGATGAGATTCAATTAAGAAATCCTGCAAAGGAAAAAGATACCTCTGATGTAGGAGTCATTGCCATAAGATTCCAATGAGGCAGAGCTTACACCATAAGAATATTACGAAAAGCAGATAGATAGCTGCTCATAGTGTGTGTACCAGTGCTTCCTTTAATCCTGAAACCCCTCTGATAAATGGGAATGGACAGTTTCAGAGAGTTTCTATCACACGTGTTTTTCCAGATGATGGGCATATTTCAGTGTAGGTTTAACTGTTCTCTGTGCAGATGTGCCCATCTGGCAGCTGTGGAACTTTTGATACCAAGAACTGGAGACAGTAACTCTAGTGATGAAGAACTAGATGCAAACAACATGAAGTTTTTTGAAAGACATGGTGTGGAAGGGAGTACAGATAGCAAAGAAGATTTAACCCTGGATAAAGCAGAGAAAAGGAACGCACGGAGTAAGCACTGTATTCCCATCATTCCTTGTTTGAAAAAGTTGATATGAAGACATTATAGTCATAGTTGCACAGTTCCTGCTAACTGCTGGGACCTTTCTGTTGTAAGATGTGTTAGTTGGCAGGATATCTGTACCACTGAGCATTCAAACAAATTGTGGAAAATTAGAAAGCATAGCAGACAGCAATCAGAACATATTTGTTACACCATTTTAATCCATGTTGGTGAAACTATATTGGATTGCTACTTGTTTTTGAGATCTCTTTGCAGTGTGGGTGTCAGCTGTAGCTCAGTATTTGCTGAGCAGTGTGATTTCTGCTCTGTGAGACTGTTTTCCAGACTATTGGATTCCATCGTGACTGCCTTGTCCATGCATTTTACCTACCTGGAGAACTCTGTCCTACAGTAAGGGCCTACCACAAGATTCAAGAACTTCAGCAACTTCTAGAAATTGCCTACAGCAACTACAGACAGCTGGGAGGGATAACTGAAGAGGAGAGGAAGATGAAAAGAGAAGAAAGGAAAGCTGAGAAGTAAGGTCATTTTGCCCTCCTAATGTTTAACTTCGTGGGGCCCATTTTAAAGCCTTTTTTAAGGCTACACTCAAATTTGCTTTGCCCAGTCTGTCTTTTCTATTTGCCAACTTTAACCAGGTCAAAAAGAAATGGACTGCAGCAATTTGTCCGACCATTTCTAAACTTCTACCACCAGCTCAACAGAAGTGCTTGACAGGTGTACACTTCTTGGGCAAGATCATCTGTTTGGCCTTCAGGTTTTCCTGCAGTGTGTGTGCAGTAGGTCTGATAAGTCCTCGCTGTTTTGTTTCCACTGAGGATGCCAAAGATGTGTGTGCACTTTAATAAACCTGAAAAAAGGCATTAGTCTTAGCATGGCTTGGATGGAAGTGCATATACAGCAGAGATTATTCAGTGACCTGCTACATTTCTGTGTCAAGGGCAATATGTTTCTATGCTCAGGAAAGCATTAGCTTGTATCCAGACCACAGAAAACAACCCCAACTATGAGCAGACCTGCCCTTGTCTGTGAAGCACTATTCATAATGTCTGTCTAATTCTCAGTGTCTCCTTTAAATCAAAGGGTTCTGTTAGACTGGTCAGGTGAATTGATGGACAGACTGTCTACATTTCAAAGAAAAGTCCTTCTGTCTATCAAAGATTTAGAGCTCAAACAATAATGCAGCATCCAAAGACAGGCCTGTCTCCACTTCTACCTGTCAAAGATTTGGCTACCCACAGATCTCAGTGTCTGCAGATAACCACCTCTGTAATGTGTTTAGACCACCCCAAATCACTGTCTTTATTTGGTTACTGAGAGGAGACTTGTCCAGAGGGCTTGTATGCCATCATGAAGGCAGCAGACTTACCAGTCTGTGTAGATCTGGAGCAGGTAATAGGTGTCACAGACTGCCATTAAATAGTTTGTTTTACAGCCATATCTGAGCCAAGAAACTGAGGACAGGATTTCTTTTGGTTCCAGGTCACCCTTTGACTCAGCCCAGGCTGAAAGTCCATCTTTGTTAACTTGATATGTCTGCTGTAGCTAACAGATATCTGCATCTGAGTTAGTGACCTTGAGCTCCTTTTTAGACTTCTTGGAGAGATGTAGGCATTTTCAGGGCATAATTAGACATGTATTTCAGGATGTGATTCATCACTTCTAGGAGTGTCTCTCCTGGCTTCAAAGGAGGAGGGTGACCAGCTGAGGTGTTGATACCTATGTTGGAGAAATCTGTTTTTAATGATGGAAAAGTCACTGTTGACTAAAGGCATACATTAGCGGTCATTTTGGATGGAACAGTGCCTATTAGAGGGCTCTGATGAGACTCTATAAGGGACATTGCTTTCTGTGGCATGGGTGGCTAAACTAGAAAAACTGTGAGGCTCTGAAGAGTCTTTCTCACCTGGGGAGGCTGGAAAGCATACCTAGCCCCAAACTGTCCTTTTCAAATGGAAATAGTGCTTCTCAGCATACCTACCTACCCTTCTCAGGGTACCTATCTGTGGGTAAACTCCAAGATGCTTGTAACATAGGCCAGAAAACCTATTACTTTAAAATATTTAATGACAACACCGTTTTGCTAGATTAAAAGCAGGAGTTGCTACTTGGGAAGGCCACTTAACAGATTTTGAAGATTTCTGATCTAGTCCATGTTTTCTGGCTGTAAGGGGCCTTGTGTGAACCACTGCACAGTGCTTTAACTAGGCTGCGTTGCATGGAAAAAATTGCCACCGCGTGTGTGCCACAGAGTTTTGGAGCTGTGCCTCTTTAATTTGAAGTGTGCAAGAAGTTGGCTGTCCCCTGAACACTGAGCACAGGCCACTCTTACAGTGTCTTTAAGGCTGGTTTGGGCCCATGAGTCAGGAATTCTTCTCTCCAGGAAATGCCTTAGCTCTTGATGAGAGCTTTTTTGCCATGATGTTTGAATCCACAGGACAGATGTCTCCCTTTTCCTTTTACCGATCTTCCATCTTTGTAGTTGTGCTAATTCATCCTGATGTAGAAAAGAGCCAGCTCAATTCCAGATGACTCAGTTGCTGAGGTCAATTGCTGTTATAATAAGAATATATGCGAATCATGTCTCAGCTAAACCGTTTGCGGAATCTCAAGTAATTAGGAGCCTTGTGGATGTGACCAATGAGATCTTGTGCAATTGTGTATAAACCAGTGCATCAGTTTCCCTTGAGTAAGGGTCATGCAAGCTGTTATTTGAGTATTCCTCATTCGTGCCTAAGCCAATCAGTAGGAAGGATGTAGCAGCACCAGATGTAAATGAAAAAGCTGCCCCTGACCCTTCCAGAATCCCAGCCTTATGCTTTTTCTCTATTTCGTAATAATTTAGCTGCTCCTTGGGCACTTCTTCCTCTCCCACAGCTGGAGATGGATCCGGTCACAGGCTGCACGAGCCCCAGGCTCGGTGTGTGGGCAGACGTCTCCATCTCGTGGTCAAATCGTGCTGAGCACAGCTGGCAGCGGAGAGGGAAAAGCTGCTGTTTATAGAGTTGTTACAAAGTGTCTGGAGCCAGGAGCGCAGCTGGTGTGAAGAGTACAAAGTGTCTGGAGCCAGGAGCGCAGCTGGTGTGAAGAGTACTGCACTGCTTTCTGCGTGACTAACCTGCTCCCTGGCAAAGGCACAGTACCACGTAGAGTGGCCAGGGCAGGTTTGGATGTAGTTCTTGCTCTGCTTGTCTCCTTTGCTTTTGACAGGGCTGTGAGGGAGCTGGAGGCCCAGCTGGAGTATGAGCGAGTCAGGCGGGAGAAGCTGGAGAGCCAGCTGGATGACTACCGTGCTGAGATAAGCCACCTTAGGGAGAGCCTGGAGAAAACCTGCATCCCCCCTGCTGTCCCCATGGTGAGTGCCACACTCCCCCAGTGCGTGGGACAGAAGCTACTGCCTGTAGCTTGTGCATGTTGTTCCTTCTAAGATTCCCAGGCATGGTGCTAGGAAATAATAGAGAAAAATGTGCTAGCAGCTTTTAGCTTAGGACATGGAAGTGAGCAGGAACCTTTGTCTGTCCTAACAGTGTCTCTGCTGTGAAAGGATATCAGTTTCTCTTTGTACCCTGGCAGAGAAGCACCAATATTCTGCATAATAACAAAAGGAGTGTACTGATCCCTGAGTACTTCCACATGCATATACAGTGACTGGCAGTTCCTCTTGGCTGGTACCTGGTACCTGAGACTGGCCTGGTGCCTCAGGAGAGGTGTCATCACCTAAAGGGTTACCCAGCCTGTGAGTTGAGAGATCATAACCGTGGGTCCCCAGAGGGGGACAAAGAAAATAACAGTCTCACTTCAAAGATGATCCATGTCACAGTCTGGAATCAGCCAGGCATCCTGAGTGAGAGTCCAGGATCTCATAGAAAGTTTGTGCAGAGAATTCAGTCTGTTTAGGAAAGGAAAAGTAGGTGCGGCATGGGAAGTTCTCAGACAGAGAGGCTTCATTTTGAATTGAATATTAAGGCCTTTTTATATCATAGAGAGGGAAGAGGGAAGAGAACACCACCACTGTAAGCTGCCAATAGATGCTGATGTTTCCTTTTCTAATTTTTTACTTTTCACCTGCATAGCTTGTATAGCCAGTAGATGATGAGGTTTCCATTATTTCAGACCATTTTTTATTTCCCAGACTATTTTCCACCTTTTCAGTCAATTGCTCCTACAGTCTCTTGTTTTTGCACTTATTGGTGGTATCTTGGTATGGCTCTGAATTCTAGGTACCGCAGCTGTACTTCAAAGAGGCCAGCTGCACTTTTCAAGGATGCTTCTGGTTCTCAGCCTCACAATTCCCTAGCTGGCAGATATTTTCTTTGTCAGCATTTTTCAGCTGGTGTTTTTTTCCTGGTAATTTTCCCCTTCTAACCAGCTCACCTTTTTGGCTGCTCACACTAGGTGTCAACCTGCTGTGTCAGCCCCCACCCCCTGGCTGGCAGGTTTTGTAGCAATTGCAGCTCATACTTTAGGATATTTCTTTTGCTTCAAAACTCCTTCAAAACAGGTTTCCTTTTCTCTTTTTTACACCAGACTGGGAAGTGAGTTGATGGAGGACTGTAGTACAGGACTTTACTGATGTGTGCAGTGGCTGACTGCAGAGAGTGTTCTTGTATGCCATCTGCTATTATCCCAATTATCTAGCCCTCTCACAGCAAAGAATATACACACAGATATGAATTATTGGTTGGCTTAGCAGGCAAAGACAGAAAAACTGTAGCTTTTCAAAAAATGAAATCTTGAGGATAGATCAGAAGTTCACATGCTAATTTTGGGGACAGGTGAGCTGGCATTTCAGACCTTTTGCTGCCCAATATAATTCTCAAAAATTGATGTGACAGTCAAAATCCTGTTTGTCAGGTTTTTACCATCCAGTCAAGTTGTCAGCCTTGGATGAAGCACCTAAATTCCTTCCCCTATGGGTGTGGGGACTGGTGTGCAGTAGCACTGTTGGTTCTTCTCAGGAAAAGATGCCGGTGGAAAAGGCATGTAGCAGGGCTGTTCTTGGAGCTCTGCTTAACTTCCCTGGCCATTGCACTGCCTTGTCTATGTAACTGTTTGTATGGCTCTGCTATATCCAGGATAAAAGGCAAGGACTCATCACTGGCAACATGGGCAACTCAGATTTAAGTCCTTCGTCTGCCTAGAGGACTCAAGAATACCCATCCTGGAGGAATGTTCTAAGCAGCCCAACATCTGCTCTTGTGAGATGGAGCCATATTCATTCCCCTGTGGGGAGCTGTGCAGTGTAACCACTGTATTTCAATATTCACCAGTCCAGATGGAGTGAGTCAGAGAAAACAAGCTTTTTAATCAGATTATTAGGGTTCATGAAAAAGGACAGGAATTTTCATCCCAAGAATTTTAGTCCTTCTCTTGTCATCATCTGACCCCAGGCTAATAACAGCTTGCTTTAAGACATGATTCATTATACTTCCCTGGCAGGTTTAAAAATGTAGAACAACTATGGCATAGAGTGCCCCATTCCTAGGGTGAAAGAGTGGCTGTAGTTGTTTCTACCCACAACAGTCTGAAAAAGTCTAGCTGAGCTTTAGATTTACTGGCTGGGACTGGAGACAACTACCAAGGCAGGTTTATTTTCAAGAACTGCTCTGAGTGACTGCTACAGCCAAGGGGCCTTCCACTTACACTGCTGTGCTGCCATCCCATGCCCTGGGACTATGCTCTGCCCCAGCTTCAGTTTAAACACAGTGTTCTGTGGTTACTCACATCCATAGATTTGAAATCCTTCCAGTGATTGCTGTTTAATGGCTGAAATATACTTTGTTTCAGGAAGCTGAGACAATTGCCAAGTCTTGCAAAGACAAAAAGAAAATAAAGAAGCAGCCAGCCTGCAGCCCAGGAGGAGTGTTTGTGAGGCTACGCTGAGGAATGACCCTCCAAGAGGGGCAGGAGACTGCAAAGGTAGAAAGGCAATATTCCAGACAATGCAAAGTTTGCATGGCCCAGCTGCACAGATGAGTTGTGGTTCTCTGCCTTTCACTGAACTATGGTTTTAGTTCTCTAGTTCTCTGATGCAGCAGCAGAAAATGTAGTTTAGCAACAGCTTTGCAAATTATAAATTGACATTTCAAGAGTTAACAGCAGCAATGTCATAGGCCCTCATAGTTCTGAGAGAAGTACCTCTGTCTCCTGGTCTATTTTGTACTGTGACCTTAAAAAGGAAAAAGTGCACATCACCTCCTAGAATATTCAGATAGGACCTTCAGCATGGAAGCAGAATACAGTCTCCAGGAGAATTACTTTTCAGCTGCAGACAGGTACCAGGCACCTTGATTTTTATCTTCAAGTCATTCCTAAAGAAGCCAGGAAGTGACTTCTTTGTGAGGTGCCAGATGAACTGCAGCAGCAGGCCTCTAGCTCAGGGCTGAAGAGTTTACTAGGTTATGGGGCACGTTGTGGTTAGAAATGGCAACCCTGACCTCTCCTCCATACCTAGAAAACATTTAATGACTACACCTATAAAATTTTTTCTCTCATCTGTGTGCTATTGTGAAGTTATTTTCCCTTTGGAAGCCTCATTTTGAGATTATTTTTTTTAGTGCTCAAGTCCTGATATGTCCTCTCCTTAAGTACCAAAGAAAACAATCTCTGAGAATTTCAGAGGTACTGAAAAATAAAAATCAATGATTTCTGTGCATAGTGAAGGAGAAGCACACTGACTAACAGCATAAGCCTTGTATCAGAGCTAAAGTGTAGAAATTCAGTCTCAAGAGCCCACTTCAGGGTGTGTGAGATGATGATGGTGAGAAGCTGCAATAGATGAGCTCTTTCCTACCTCACCACTGGTGCTAATGTTAATGTAGGAACACTCAGATAGTCAGACAGCAAATATAAGAAATTAATTTTATTTTCTTGAATGAAGATAATAAATAATTTAATGCATAGAATATAAGAATTAGCAGAATAAAAGCAAGTTCAACTGTAAACAGAATAAAACCGCAATAAAAAAAATTGCCACTACTCACTACTACATAGTCCTTAGCCCATAAAGGGCCTATTCTTATTTTGAAGTTAATCCAGAAGGACTCTTTAAAAATTATTATTTTACTACAAGAATCAAACCAAGCGTATGCATTTGTACTTGAGATGTGACTGCTTCAGTTTTGAAGGCATCCACCTGCTATGTTGCATCTCTGCAACAGAAGTTTTCAAGTCCTTGCAGAAGGTAGATGGGTTTGGAGAGTTAGTGTGTCAGGATTACAGAACAGTCCCAAGGAGTGTGGAGATGGGAGGAGGATCACCACCACCACCACCACTACCACCACCACCACGCCGGCACCACTGAGATGCTGAGTATTTCCATGTTACTATGCCCAGAAAATATGTCTGGGTTCATTAGAAATACTCTGCATTACCTGAAAGGGGGAAATTAAGAGTACTTATCTGCCCCAGGGCTGTACATGGTTGCTCAGAGTAGTGGCATTTCCCCTTGGAAAGACAAAGACAGAGAAGTTCCCCCTTCTGCTGACTTCTGGGGTTACAGACATTGCAAGAGATACTAAAGAAAATAAATCTATGGAGACATTTTAGTTGTACATAAGATTTTAACTTTATGTAAACCAGTTTTCAAGAAAAAAGGGTTCTTTAATAAAGGCCTTGGAGTGCATTTTTATGTATGTAGATAAAAACCCCAAAGGGCCAGGCTTCAATCCATCAGAAAAGTGAGGAACAGACTGAAGACAAAAATCCAGAACCTATGTTTAAGATTAATATACTTGGATCAGAGCAGATATATTGTAATCTGGTATTAGTATTCCCATACTGGGAACACTAATTTGAGAATTGTATTCGCATTTCAATGTCCTATAAAATGTTTAATATTTCCATTTTAAGAGGAGCTGAGAGTGAGAATGTTGGAAAACCAAATTTAATTATAAAAAATATTAGGAAACACTTTGTGGTATAGAATAAGAAATATTCTGAAATAAATACATTACTGAACAAGAGACAACAAAATTACTATTTGGCTACTTCCCCCCAATTATTTTGATCTTTAGTGTTACATATTCAGAATACATTTTTCTTATACAGTAAGAATATCGAATCAAAAAGGTACCAAGGTTATCTACAGTGGAAACGATCATCAAACTACTGTTGGCCTGGGTGGCCTTTTCTCTGTTTGTATTAGATGCAGTCATTCCATTCAGATCTACTTCCAGAACCTGTAAAATCCCAGTGCTATTGCCAGGCAAGTGAACACTGAAGCTGTTAAAAAAAACAAACCCAAAGAAAGGAAATAATTAGCTGAATGCTGAAGTGTATCACTTTATAAATACAGGAAATTAGCTGCAAACAGATGGAAGAAAATGGTAACGACACTAGAGCAGAGCCTCTTAAACTTCCTGAATTGCTGCAGGCGTGACAGAGCAATTTGAGAAGACAGTGGCTTGCCTTAGATGTCATACCCTGCACAGCAGCACTGTGGTGGTGAGACGGGGGCCAAATTCAGCAGCCTGAGGAACCATGTTTTCAGGGACACATCTGAACAGCTACACTGGATACTCAGCGCACCACAGGCTACAGGAACTTTTACTATTGGAAGCTGTATTACAGGAGATGCTGTACCAGGTCTTGCATTAGACGTGGTTATAATGACTTGCCACTGAACCAAACGACAATGAACTGACGATACAGGTATCTGACACAACACCGGGATATCCTGGCAACACCCCTGACAAGTTGTCTTTCGGATTTATTATGCTGCTGTTTCAATTAGTGTTAGAATAAAGCTAATTACATTTCCCTTTGAATTTATTCTCACTTCCAAATATACTGCATTACTCTCTTTTTATCCAGCTCCAACACAATAAAAACTTCACTGGTTTTATATATATATTGAGAAGACAATCTCAGATCAGACTGAGATTTGTTCTGCTTGGCAGGGGAAAGTACAAGTGCTGTCACACTGAACTGTATGTCCGTGGAGACTGAATGGGAAGCAGAACTGGTCACTCTCAGACCAGTCCCGAACGACAGCAAACTTTCAGGGCAACCCAAATGACCTCAGGAGAATTTCTGTAGCAACTCCGCCATGTCAGTGGCTGCTGCAGCAAGCAGAGGTACTGTCAGATGGATAAGGTATTTAAGGTTTTTTTTTTTAATCTTTTTTAGACCATGTCCGTATTCCTCCTATTCCCAGTTCTGGGCACAATCCTAGTCCTAGTATGGTATGCTCCCACCTCTTTTGTGTTCTGTGTCACACTTTATTCAGCTGGGGGGAAATCTACCCCTGCAATCCCAGCTGTCTGCTCCTACTACTGACGTCTTTCAGCATATACTCCTGAATGTTTTACATCCAAGATACAGTGCCAGCACTCACCTCCTTGCCTATCACGTACCTGCCAGATAACGTATCGTATCAAGTTTATTCGATTCCATGAGTGTTTTTAAGGAAGCTATTTCAGTGTCAATTTTATTACTGATTTCTGAGATAACACTGTTGGTACTTGAATCCTGAAACATTAAAAGATAGCATATAATGATGATGGTATTTAACCTTTCAGCTTTGCAAAGTTGCACTAAAATACTATGCTACTAGCAACAAGAAATTAATTTCAGCCTATCACTGAAGTAAAACATTACTAACTGCTAAGAGACCTTAGAAGACACAGAACACCATTTAATACAATCCAGGAAGAATACTGGAAGTGACAGAAAGAGAGAAAACTCTGATCACAGAATGATTTGGGTTGGAAGGGGCCTTAAAGACCATCTAGTTCCAACTCTCCTGCCATGGGCAGGGACACTTTCCACTGGACCAGGTTGCTCAGAGCCCCATCCAGCCTGGCCTTGAATGCCTCCAGGGATGGGGAGTCCACAACCTCTCTGGGCAACCTCTCCCAGTGCCTCATCACCCTCATGATACAGACTTTTGTCTGATATGCCAGTGCATCCTAAAGGAGACATTCTACAGCACACAGAACATTATTCCTACATTTCTGAAAAACAAAGGTTTAAGCATTCACAAACCATATCCCAAAAAGGAAGGAGATGCTGAAGATGGGACAAGTCCCTCTTCAGCCTCTTAAGACTTTGGTGCCATCTAGCAGCTTTTGAGGACTTCCAGCCCTTGAAATGCTCAGCTGCAGGCACCTGGACCATCCCTCTGGTACACCTCATCAGTTAACACTGGGAAGGGCAGCATGACAGCACACATCCCACTTGTAACAGCCAGAAACAAGGTACTTGGGAAGCGAGGGAAAAGGCTTGCATGCCTCCCTCTGCTGACTGGTGTTCATCTCTAAGGCAAGAAACATCTGCAACAGCTGTGAGTGATACAGCCCAGCCTCTTCTTTAACCACATCCAAAAACCTATTAACTTCCACGAAAGTTTGTACATAAAATGCAATGTGTAACTGTATCCTGCTGACTATAAATCAGCTTTACTCAATACTTACTTTTTTATGAAATTCTGTAGTTGCTTCCATCAGTTTCCTCTCCTGATCTGTAAACTGTGGATGAAAGGTAAATTATAACTGTAGTAACAGAAACATCACACAGAACTGATAAGGGCATCTTCACAGACCAGCTTACCATATCTGTCACCCTGCTCCTCTCCAGGTTTATGTCCAGCTTGCTGTCAGCTCGGATTTTACCAGTTTCATTCTTTAAAAAAATAAAGATTATGAAAATAACTATTTACTTTCCCCAATAGGGGCATGTAGGTACTTGCTATTTACTTACCATTAGCTGCTGTTTAACTTGATCTAATTCAATTTTCATTTTCTAAGTGCAGAGGAGAGAAAAAAAGAAAGATTTTACGAATTCAGGAAGCTGCTAACCAAATTAATCAGTCATGTAAGTGTTACCACTGCATGCATGCAATTATTCTTCCCTATTTTTTCTCCCAATGGGGAAATTTTTTCTTGATTAAATATGCTCAATAATGTGTTCAATTGTACAGCCACATATCACCTGCTGGCAATTTTGCTCAAAATAAAGAGATTATTTTCTAAAAATGATGATCTTGTTATTCAGAGACTAAAGACAGCAGAAAAATACCAAAATGCCATCAAGTAAAAGCAAAACATATCTCAATTACCAGCTTAATTAAATTGTTGCAAAGAAACGGCTGACTCCTCTCCCTGCAGTATATGTTTAATGGCCACAAACTACCAGAATTACCTTTAAATAAAATTACAGAAGATGATTGTAAAATCTGTACATTTTTTTCTTTACAGAAAACCTGAGCAAGTCTTACGTGAAATATATTTTTATGTGATCTCAGAAGTTGTAATCTATAAACTTTTTAACTCTGATGGAAGTATCTAGAATTATTTTTACATTCATACTTTGTTCCACAAAAATGTACAACATGTAAGCCTCAACATACATTGGAATTAAACTGCTTAATGAAAAATATATATTAATACCTCATTCTCTGCTCTCAAGTTTGCAAATTCACTTTTCTCCAGGATGACCATATCTTTTCGAATGGAGTCCAAATGTGCCATTATCTGCTGTAAAGTTATTTCCTTTGGAACAATAAAATATGCCACTGATTATGTTGCACACTTTCTGGCAAGTAAAGGAAAGATTTTTAGGTCTGAAATTATGAAATTAGTTACTCCAAAGCACAAAAGTGGGGAGTCTCTCCAACAAGGAAGTGACAGAAACAGAATTTTATAGCTGCAATTTGTTTGGAAGACTCAAGAGGTTTGCATTTTGTGCTCTTTCTGTTGCTTTAATGCACCAACTTTGACTTTAAGAAAAAAGGCCCGAGGTATTAGTCCAAGTAGTTATGAAATGAAATATACCTGAAACTACAGGTTAGTCCTTCAGTCTCTTCCATTTTCAGTGAATGTTCAGTAGCCTCAGAAGCATTAATTTTTGTTTGAATGCAGTTCCTAATAAGCACTTCCACTTCTTGCTCACAAACTGATCAAAAGCCCAAGTCTTACTGACACAAGTACCACAACATCCTCTCAGCAGTGAAGTAAGACACAGGTAAAACACTGCTAAAAAAGCACTGAAACAAGTCTTCGTGGGGTTTGACCTACCGAGTTCAGAAATCAACTGCTATTTATAAGCTATAGAGGAAAAAACCCTCCAGAAAATAAAGGAAGAAATGCAGTACTTTAGAATCTGGAAAGCAATAATACTCCTTCAGTCACCATAAGGAAGTTACCCTATTATTTATGGAAATGACAATGACAATGATGTATCACTGTGGGATTTGACTTTTAAAGCTGAGAGCCAGCAAAATAAAAAGCTCTCACTCAGACTACAAGCCAACAGTATTTCTCAGATTTTACATAGAACTAAATTCATTAAAATATGCCCTGACCAAACTTCCACTGAAGTCTGACTACTTCATTGAACACAATGAAATTATTACAACTCCTGGGAAAACTTCAGCAGCATGGTTGGTCACAGCCACTGGAGTGTGGTTTGGTTTTGACCTTTGGCAGCTCTGCCTCCCTGACCTAGGCACAGTTTATGTGAAAGTACAGGGCCAGGACTGTCCCAGCAGATGGGGTGGACAGAGCCACCTTGATTTAGGAGGCAGAGGTTTTAGCCACCTGGATGTAGTCTGTGCTGTGTCATGTGCCCTTGGGGACAGTGGGTGGGCTCTGCATGACTTAGTTATTGGTATAAACCTGGTTGGTTGTGCTGACCAGGTCAGCACCTTGGTCTGCATTCCAGCAAAGCACTGGGGTGTTTCCTTCACTGAGGTATTCAAGTCCATATCTGTGGACATACCTGCAGGCAGCAGGTCAGTTAAGTAGCATGGCTGGCTTTCCTGCTGACAGTAGAGGTGGTGACAAGTTTTGCTTTAGCAAACTGACAAAATAAAAAGAACTTAGTTTTTCTTGTAGGGTAGACATCTGGGTGGGATAACAAAGCTCTGATGCACAGTGACGGCATTAATAACTACTCAGGAAGGCTGTGCAAGCTGAAATCATGCGCCATTCTTCTTCAATTACTTAATGCAATTAGGCATTCACTGCTATTTTATTTAAACTGCTGAGCCTTTCTTCCAACAGATTTTTATCTTACTGGCATTTATTTCTAAAAAAAGTTGTTTAAATTTTTTTCTTCCTCTAAATCTCAGAAGAAGACAAGAACTTCTGTCTCTTTTTTTCCTTCAAAATGGAAACCTTTCTTTTTGGAAATCCTATTATATGCAAAGAAAGTCAGTAACCCAGATATAATTTGCATGGAACTGTGTCAGGCAGAAACATTGATTTTTATAGTGTAGTCAGTGTTGAGACTGAATATTTCAATATGGGATGAGGCTCCTCAGTGTAAATGCAACTGAAGTTTTCCCAGGAATTGTAAAAACTTCATTGTGTTCAATGAAGCAGCCAGACTTCAGCGGAAGCTAGGTCACGGCATTTAACTATCACTTAAAATCCCAAGTGAAAATTAGGAAAACCTGGCACAGTGAGGTCTTTATAGTACTAACAAGAGCTGCTCACTTGTGCTTTAAAGATGCAAGTATGAGCTGTTACAGCTACACACCACAGATTGTTTTTCACCTGCTGAGCCTGCGTGACCATGTCCTTATAGACGGTGTCCAAGCTGACGTTTGACAGGGTTATTAGTGCCGACACGATGGTCTCTGCCTGCTCCTTCCCAAAGCCTAGAGGACAACAGAAGTATGACAAGTTAAGGTGCTATCAAAAATCTGGATGAAGAGCAAGAGCTACACGATAACCTGGGACACTCGAATGCCATACCTAACTACAGTGGCACATGGGAATTCACACAATTCCTGAAAACTGACAGCCAGGAGCCAGTCCCTGTGACTTTTAAGTCGAAAAAACACAGACTGCAAAAATCTGAAGCACGTTAACTTTTAATATACTAAAAGTCTATAGATGCAGCTGACAGAAAGATCAAATTTCTGTTCAAGGCTTAACTGTTCATGCATTGTAAAAATAATTCAGCAAAACTTTACTTCATAATGAACTTCCACAGATTCTGTTAAAGCCAAACTTACCTTGAGCTACAAAGCATGCATCCTACAGAGTACTAACAGGTAATTCTGCATGTATTGGAATTGTTCTGCACAGATATGAACACAAGCAAAACTGATTTTAAAAATGCTGCATCCATTGCTTGTACAATGAACTCAAACTGGGACTTTTGCTTTCTGATGATAACAATTACACTTTGTCCATAGCTTGGTGCAATTTTGAAGTGCTGTATGATGTGAATAGTAAAAAAAGAATAAATAAAAAAATCGCTCTCATCTGGTCAAGTGCTGAGAGCTTTTGCCCTGAAGATTTATTTCCAGCAATCTCACTGATGTGTTTCAACTGGCCCATTTTATATAACGGGTTCAATTAACATTTTATTGAAAAAGACTTTCAAGGCAAATTATTTAGAGAACTATACCACTGCTCCCTTCTAAAATACTGGTACTGTCAAGCTGCACCATTGGTTTACATGACTAAAGAAGCTATGCATGCTTTATGACAGCTTCCTTCCACTAAGAGGTGTGATAGTATTGCTTCAGTTCCTCTGAGTCTTCAGGGTTACTTAGGCTATTGCCAATTCCTTATTTTGCTCCTCCTCTATAGCAGGAACTGTTCGTGTTGCATGGATGTTTAGAAAATGTGGAAAAATTCCTATAACCAAGAGAATGGAGCCTGAAAACTCTCTGCAGCAAGCTTGGGAAAAACTAAAATGCTTTCTCACTTTTGTGGTGTGTACAGGCTTCACCTATAGAGCTCTGGCACTGTGGTACTGAAACATTTGTAAAGTTACGGAACAAATTAAACTGAGTAACAACCAGCACCAGATAGACCTCACCCCGCAAGTTCCAATGGAACGTGATGAAGAAATAGCTGAAATAGTCCTGGGCGGAAGTAACATTTCCCAGCCTACCTTGGTTACCCAGGGACTGGGAAATAACAATGCCAGTTTTTAAAAGCAGTTCTAGGGAGATGTAGGGAACTACAGGCTGTCAAGTCTGACAGGCATGAAAAAAATAAATATTGTTAGCGGACTATTATTAGTCTTTTAACTACTAACGCATATTATTATTAGACCCAAATAATGGAAAAAAATCCCAACCTCCAATTATATGAAGTTCCAACCTCCAATTGTATTAAGTTTCTACTGTCACTTAGGATTTTAAAAGATGGTTGCTAGTCTGATGAAGACATCAGCTCAAGGCTTAGTAAGGACCAATAAAGCAAACCAAACTCTTAGGAATTACTAAGAAAAGGAACAGAGAACAAAACAGACACAACTTTACATCACTGTTCAAATCTACAGGACATTTAATTGTCAAGTAATGCCAGCAGTTCTATTCCCTCCCCTGTGAAATGAAATGTGATAGAAGTCAAAATTATTAATATTAAGGACATTGAGAATGATCAAAAATATGGAAAAGCTATTGCTCAAGGAAAAATGCAATAAGCTAGGATTCTTCTGTTTGAAAAAGAATGATGGGGGAATATGACAGAAGTTTGCATAATTGTGAGTGACATGGAAGATCAAATGTTCACTTCCCTCCTCCCAGACAAAAGGAGTGGATGCCTGAAATTCCATGAGAAAGAATGTTTTGGGTACTAACCAGTTTACAGTGGCTCAGGGACTGAATAAGCTTGTGAAAAGATTTCCAGTGAAGGTTACTAAAACTCACACCTGACCCAAAATACTCCAGGGTGACAGCAACTGGAGGCTTAGAAAGTAAAAGGGGATGTGTCACAGATATCTACCCTGTTTTAACACTTCTCTGCAGGCACTGACTCACAGCTGCTGTCAGCAGACAGAACCCAGGGCTACATGGACCTTTCACCTAACTTCAGCCGGTCACACTCACAACATGAAAGTGCAGGCATTAAGAATGTATCACAGCACTGTGCTGCTGAAAATATTTCTAGAAAAAAACCCTTAAATTACTATTAGCAGGTGCATAGCAGGAACTTCTATTAAAGCTTCCTTTTTGCTCTAAAACAGTCTTTAACTGTTATTTACTTCACATTTGTTAACTGAATTATGTTCCTCAGCTGGAAGACACTATATAAACTTGCCTAATGAGGCAAATGTAATGAGGTAAATGTAATGTATCAGATCGTCAGATGAGATGCCTCTCCTTCACCAGCCTCCTAGACAGGCTGCCAAATATTTTATACCACCGAGTACCGGTACTCTGGGGAAACTGATAGCACTCAAAGTTACAGTATTCAAAACTAAAAGTTTTCCTTTGAATTACTAATCACATATCACTTACCATGGGTTTCTAGATCCTGCACTAAAGCATGGGTATCAAAAGTTACCTTCCTCTGCTCCAGGGGAGTGATATCAACTCTTCTGACATCATATGACTTCCTAATGAAAGTGGCAGCAAAACCTGGAAGTAACAAAACATGCCTAAAACTTAACTTGATTGGTTTATCATGCAATACACTAATTTTAACTTATTTCATCATAAAAAAAGCTGCATGGATGTTGCAACAAAAGGCTGGGTTACAGCACACACCAGAAACCATCAGTCCCTTTTCCACAGGAAATCTATACCAACTAGGACTCGTATATCAATGATAAGTGTGTCCGTGTAACTGTGCAATGGACAAGCATCCTGAGACAACACCCACCACAGCCAATTCTTTTATAGTATTTGGGAAACATGCCTTAAATAATTTTCTTATTTTTAAAACATTCAGTGAGTTAATGCAATTAGGCATTCATTGCTATTTTATTTAAACTGCTGAGCCTTAATTCCAACAGATTTTTATCTTATCATGGAATGGCTTGGGTTGGAAGGGGCCCTCAAGACCATCTAGTTCCAACCCCCTGCCATGGGCAGAGACGCTTTCCACTAGACCAGGTTGCTCAGAGCCCCATCCAACCTAGCCTTGAACGCTTCCAGGGATGGGGCATCCACAACTTTCTCTGGGCAACCTGTGCCAGTGCCTCACCACCCTCACAGTAAAGAATTTCGTCCTAATATCCAATCTAAATCTCTCATTTTCAAAGAATTCCTCAATTGCTTTCTTTTTACATTTTCTTCTATCACTATCCTTTCTAGTAAGGATGTGAAGATAAAGCTACAGATTTTTTTATTTTTTAGAAATCCATGCAAGTCTAACTTTCAGAATGAGTCTACTGGTTCATCAGGAAAGTAACTAGGCAACAAAGCTATATGATGCCTGCACCTAATATCTTATAAATGGATATTAGAGATCCTCTCTATTTATTATGTGAGTGCCTTCCCAGAAGATGTTTCACCACTTCTATTTCTATCTGAAGCATATCTTTCTCTGCACCTTATCTTTGTGGGGTTTGAATATTACAGACTGGGTTCGAATAGATTTTTTGTTCTCTAAGCAGCCCTTTTACTTCTAAATCCATGCTTATTCGAACCTTACGCACTGCTGGCTGCCTGCCTTGAACAAAACTTTGTTCTGAACCTTATCTACTGAAAAGCTTTATACCACTTAAACAACAGGGAAGTTACACTGTGCCACTACCAGATAAGTCATGTGCTACCTTACGTGCGCTCTAAAGAACTGGCTCTAACTAAACCAGCAACAGCACCCGAATTAATGTCTGTATTTAGAGTTAAGATGCACTGAATACTACAAATAATGGAAAACAATTCCAAACATCTTTTTCACAGAGCGCGGGGGCTGCCCCCGTGCGAGGGGGCTGCCACCGGGCCGAGCACGGCGCTGCGGCGCCTCTCACCTCTGCGAGGAGCTGGGGGCAGCAATGCCGGGATCGGGATCGGGACCGGGACGGGGATGTGGAGCAGGCCAGCCAAGGCGCGGATCGCGGCGCCACTCCCGCCACCCCTCATGGCTCCCGCCCGCCGCTTCCGCCACCACTTCCGGTCTAGCCGCGGGGCATGCTGGGCACTGTAGTCCGCGGCCGCCCGGCAGCGCCCCCACGCGGGCGGGAGGAGCGGCCGCGCCGTGTCCTCCCTCAGGTGACGTCACGGCGCGGGCGTGTTGTGTGCGCAGGGAGGTGACCTTAAAGATCATCTGGTTCTATCCCCCCCGCCGTGGGAAGGGACACCTTGCACTAGACCAGGTTGCTCAAAGCCCCATCCAACGCGGCCTTGAGCAACTCTAGGGATGGGGCAGCCACAGCTTCTCTGTGCAACCTGTGCCAGTGCCTCACCACACTCACAATGAAGAATTTCTTCCTAATATCTCATCTAAACCTACCTTCTTTCAGTTTAGAACCATTGCCCCTTGTCCTGTCACTATATGCTGGTATAAAATGTCCTTCTCCTTCCTTTTTATAGGCCACCTTAAAGTGCTGTAGGGCTGCAGTGAGGTTCCCCCTAACCCTTCTCCAGGTGCAATGCCCCCAATCCTCTCAGCCTGTCTCCACAGCAGAGATGCTGCAGTCCTCTCATCATCTTTGTGGCCTCCTCTGGAGGCCTCTTGCTCCAGCAGGTCCATGTGTTTCCTACGCCAAGGCCCCCAAAGCTGGATGCAGCACTCCAGGGGGGAGCAGCGTAGAGGGGCAGAATCCCCTCCCTTGACCTGCTGCCCATGCTGCTTTTGTTGCAGCCCAGTTGGCTGCCTGGGCTGAGTGCATGTTGCTGGGTCATGTCCAGCTTTTTATCCACGAGAACCCCCAAGTCCTTCACCATATGGCTGCTCTCGTTGAGTTCCTCTCCCAGTCTGTACTCATGCCTGGGATTGTTCCCACCCAGGTGCAGCACCTTGTACTTGAACTTGTTGAACTTCATGAAGATCTCGTGGGCCCATGAGTCGACAGCTACTGTGTTGCCAAGATACAGATACTAGAAAAAACCCCCAACAGTAGCAACCAAAAGCTGTCACTAAGGGAGAAGAGCCGCAGATCTGCACCCTCTCTGCAGGGATGTATTGTTCAACACCAACAGTGGCAAACGCAGGCTCAGGATGGCAATTGCTCCTTGAGCAGCACACAGTCCTTTCCCTCCACAAAGGCTTCCCTGGCAGGACAGAGAGGTTGAGTGCCCCAGGGTGCTGCTTCAGATAGACAACAAAATGGCAAACTGGGTGTTTGGAAGCTGCAATATCTGTCAGCTGGAACCAACAGCTGAGCTCGGTCCATTTTAGCAATACAGAGAGCTGATCGGGAGTTCAGGACGACTGCCCCAGCTTGCCGTAGGAGGGCAGCAGCCTACAGCCAGACGGGCTGAGGATAGGACTGTCTATTTTGATCAGCTCACCCTTCCCCTCTGTTTTTTTATTGTTATTTGTACAAACACAGTGGAGCATACCTATTGCTATGCCCTCAGCCGGCCATCCTACAGCTTTAGCATGCACACAAGTCACACATGTCTATATCGTCAGTCTGGTTGTCCGGATGAGGGCTGCGGCAGGGATTATTTCATGTAGTCATACTCTGCAAAGATGCTGTATGGTAGACGGCCTCCTCTCAAGTAGGTGAAAATAGGGACAGCAAGTGGATGTAGATCCCTGTAGGAATAGATATATTTCCAGAAGAATATGTAACGGAAAGTTAGAACTCATTTGCTAGGAAGCCTTTCTTCCTAGGTAGTGGCTTCTTCTCAAAGGCAGTTTCAATGCTTTCCTCCCACCTCTGCATAGCAAGAGAAGTTTTCAGCCTTGCTCTCTGGTATGCAGAGAGATAACATGTTTGCAGATGTGTACAAGGCCTCCTTGGGCCAGAGAGAGTGGGGAAGGAGAGAGAGAAGATACAAAAAGCCTTGGAGGAGGAGGGGCATTGCCTTTTGCCCCTGAAGGTCCGATGAGATGCATTGTAAAAAAGTGGTCCTTGCATCTGAAATAAACCTTTTTTTTTAATCCTTCCACTGCCTTGGCATTCTTGGGAAGAATACCTGTGTATGTTTTACTTTACAATCCCCAATTTTTGACAGTGTTGAAACCCATTAGGTGGTTGGAAAGAGGGAAAATAATGAGACAATATGACTGATTTTTCAACCTTCCGTCCATGTTTTTCATGCAGAATATATTATTGACTATGTGGCATCCTTCATGGGAGGTCCCTGCTGACTTCAGGATACAGACCAAAATTTTAGTATTGTCGATGGTGATGGTGCTATCCAGTCATTGGTATGTGGGGCTGGAAAGGGCTGTATATCTTAGAGTCCACTCCTTCTGCAAACAATGAGCACACATACCTCCTGTTTTCTCCCTGTTTTCTTTGAGATCTTTCCCAGTCGAGGGCTGATTTTCCCACTGAATCACTAGCAAGTTCCATTCTTGACTGTAAGTGAGCCAAAGATGATTAGAGCTAGGTATCCCCTGAACTACATTTAGAAATGTAATCTACTGCTGGATTTTCAGGGATGTTGAGTACCGAATTCCCTTTCTGTCTGGTGTCTTGTTTCTGCATGTTTCTGAGGCTCCCACCCTAGAAAAGGCCAGGGTTATGGCAACCTCTATATTAGTCATGTTAGTGAGCACAGGGCCCTGAATTCAACCCTTGTAAACCTTTTCTGGGGTCTGTGACCTTTGTCAAACACAGTACAAACAGCTATAGCAAAGCAAGATACTATTTAATCTCTACAAACAGAACAGAGTATAGGAGAACAAGAAGTTTAAAATGGTAGAGGTGTCCAAGTGGTTGTTTACATACCTTAAGTTGTGCCCCCGTCAAAGCTGGACAGAGGCCTCATATAGTTTTATTTCCATGGATGTCAGGCAGAGTCCAGCCCTTGTCAGTCCATTCTCTGCTGTCACCATTTTGTCAGTTCCTGGTGGTCAGATACTGGTCACCCAGCTTTTGTTGAATTCTGGAAGCATCACATTCTCTGCTAAAGCATAGTTCCAGTATTGTGTTTTCATAGACAATGTCTCTGGCACTCTTTCAGGTCATTTCAGTAGCTTTGTAACAGTCTGGCTACTAAATGTGCCAGCATGGAAAGGGTTAGTCAAGGAGACAGGGAGCTTTGGTAACCATAATTGGTGATGATTGTGTCCATGAGTCCTTCAGTCTTTCAGGACTCCACCCCAGTCCTGAAACTGGAAAAAGGAAACATCATACCACCACCAAGTCTTGCAGCACCACTGAGCCTTGGGGGAAAGAGGCCAGATGGGGATTTCAAAGAAGATTGCCTTCATCCATTGTAAAATCTCTACCGGGACCCAATCTGTGGAATTTGCCATGATGCAAAGAGACCACGTCTTGAGTTCAGCACAAGTCCCTCATCCTTTCCCAACTCATCCTCTGCCTGGCTGGGACCATCCATCTGCCATCCCTGCCCCAATGTACACCTGCACACACCC